TTCTGGGAGTTATACATGCCATCTCTAAGTCCTTAATTAAGGTTTTTGGTCTGTAGTCTTAACTACTTGAGTTTGACGTATCTTTTGGAAAAAGAAATTCAAATTACGATTCAATTTGAGAGCAAAATTTTCATCTTGCAGTCTATCTACTATTACTTATTTTTTCCCCCTTTTTTATTGTAGTGATTCTTAAAAAACTTATAACAACTAGTTTTGAAAAGCCTTGGCAGTGTCAAGCAGGTCTACAATTTCAATGTCTTCATCTGGGAACTTTATGGAAAATATATCAGTAAAACCCAAGATGAGGTCTCAGTGAGAGATTACCTATCCTGAACATTAAAATGCTGGCTGATTGACTCCAATGGAATTCACATCAGGCCTTAAATGCTTACATGCTCTTGGAAACACATTTTCTTTCAGTGCTAGGAGATTAGGTACAGACAAAGCAGAAAACTTAAAATATTGTTTTCTGCAAATTGATGAAAGTGATCATTTGAAGTGAAATGTCTTTTATGAGAAATGGAATCACACCCTGGTAATAAAAGAACTTTATTTCCTTTTGAGATATAACACAGAAGAAAATAACAAGATTATTTGATTCTGTTTATATAGTTTTCATCTACCAAACTATGAGTTCATATGAAATTTTAGTTTAGAGATTCCTATTACATTGGTGAAAGAAGCTGAAAATAAAGCAGAAAACATCTAGTTTCTATTCCCAGTTCTGTCACAGACTTTTTGATTAGACTTCAGCTTTTTTTCTTTCTGTCAGTTATGCTGGTTTTAGAAATGGAGCCAGAAGAACTTTCCTTATCCAAGGAGAAAAGGATGAATATTTGTAAGACATGGAGATCGTAGTTGGGATACCCTATACAGAAACAGATAAAAATACAGAGGACTTGATTTTTATTCTAGTTACAGCAATTTTGCAATGATGCCAATCTCCTGATTTGAATTGAATTATTTATTTCAAGAAGTTTATTTATGTGAACTTTTGCAGACAGACCTTGAGTGATACATCTTTATAAGGCAACAAGAAGTGGCTGCATGATGATTTATCATGCAAAGTGCACATTTCTCTTGCTCAATCCTTATCATCTTGCTGATGTTTTGTTTCCACAGCCAGAAATACTTTGCCCTGGAAAACCCAGAAATATAACTTGCAAAGCTGGCATATAATAATCAGATGACCAAGCAGCAACAGGAGTAAGTTAATGATATGGGATAAAACTCCTCCTGTAAGGAGGAACCAAGACATATTGCATAACTGAGCAGAGTTTGGAAAGAGATAATTAAATTATTCCTTAATTCCTTCCATATAGACCATTATCAGGCCAATAGGAAAAGCATATTTGTCAGTCCTTTCTATGCCTCCCCTGGCTCCTGGTGCAGGAGTCCCTCTGTCCCAGCCACTGCTTATCTAAAAGCATCCCAGAGCTCTGTAACCTTCCTCTGTGAAATTCCCCTGTATGGATCCCCTTTCTGCAAAACTCTGCACAAACTTTCCAGTTTAGCCTCACATTTCACAGCGACATCTGTTCTGGACACACAGCCATTGGTACCAACAGGAATGTGAAGAGAAGTAATGAACTGTTTTCCCCTCCCTGGGTTCTCACAGACACTACCATCTGGCAGGTATGCCAGTGATACCCATGAGTGGTGATTCACTCTCATTTTCCATTGCATTCAACAGGAGAGATTCGTGCTTTCCAAGAGTCTCTATTTCTGGCACCTATGACCTAAGGGAGGTTTTCAAAGGATGAGGTGTGAGTGATGCATTCATTAACCATGCTGATCTTCTGAGAAGCTGATTGTTTTGAAGTTTGCAGACAAAAATGGTCATTTGTTTTCTGATGTAACTGCTGGTCTTAACCTTGCCTAGGAAGAGACTTGGGCCAGGATCAGAGGAGCTCATGCCCGGGAGTGGTGAGTAGGGACAGCAGCAACTTTCCACTCTCTTCCTGACACAGAGTGCTGCTGCATGTCCTAGGAGAAAATAGAGGAATCACTGTAGAAGCTTTGCTGTTCCCAGCAGTTCCTCCTTGAAAACAGTAGCATCCTTCAGATGGTTAGCCAAGCATTAGGGCTGGGCTGAAAGTTTCATGCTATGTATGTAGGCAGGCCTAGACTTGAGAAAAATATTTTGTCTTTGCTAGAGTTAAGCAACAGCATTCTTGCTCCTGCTGGTCATTTTACATAATACTGCAATAAATTTTCTCAGTACTTGCACATATCATGAAAGAAACCCTCTCTCCGGAAATACATTCTGACCAACTCTGCCTCTGTCTTGCAAAAGATAGTAGTTACATAGCAGTAACTATGGTGGGTAGACTCCTATGTGTAGATAAATTGTATATTTACCTGGGGTGAAATCATGTACATTCAATGGAAATAATTAGTCACTGCTAATTAGGATGAGTGCCATGCATCTCATCCTTAAATAACCTTCTAAATAGCTAAATTGTGCCTTTCTCTATCAGCTCCCTCTGCAAGGGATCCCAGTGTAAGTCACATATAGTATGTATATAAATCATGCCTATCCTATGTGTATGTAGCAAGGGGTTAAGAAGATCTCTGTCCTCAGCTAACATTTTATCATGGTAAAGAGTGCCCATTTCATTCTTCCATTTGTTTTCTTTATTTTTCAAGTCATGCTAATACTTGGTTTTTCACTTTATCAGTTTCTAAAATACTCATCAAAGGCCTCTCAAAAAGCTAACCAGTGCCTCTGACTATCCTTTATCTAATAATATAATGAGCCCTTCAAATAATGCCAGTTAGGGTATACCTGCAGTGTGTGCTGCAGGGCAACATAGTGATACTGGGCTATTCCCAAACAAACTTGCTTCTGCCTTGGGTACTCAATTAGATGGCATCCTTGCATCAGGATATCCAATGCAGAGACCTCAGTGGGACACAGCATCCTTTTTATAAACAGACATTGCTTTGTCTGTATCTTAGGTTTCCAATTCTTCTAATATTCTGTTTTGTAAAGCTCATTTACCATGGTTGTGCCAGACTACTTTGCAAAGCTCTTTTGCCCAGTTTAGTTCAAGCCCAAGAGTAGAAAGGTCCCTGCTCTTTCTCTCTCCTCAGAGCCCTACGTGCTGGCATCCTTCTGCCTGTATGACGGGAAAATAGACTTATAATGTTTGATGTCCAGAAAAAAAATAGCTTACTCAGTCTTTGCTTTGCAAATAAATCTTATTTGCTCTGTTTAATATTTACCAGTGGACATTAACTTAATACTACCCAGCAAAATGAAGACTAGGGAAGAAGCACTGTGAAAGAGAGGTCCAGCACTGTAAGTACCATATTATACTTTCTTAGAAGTCTTTGAATTCATGTTATCTGTGATCAATGCCATTTATTGCACAATATTTAATTCTGAGATTAATTTATTTTGTACAGTAATTGGAAATTATTTTAGCTTCTGGAAGCATTTTCTAGATGTTGGAAGCAGGATTCAGTCAGTGACCTAGCTCCTAGCTATAGGGGCAGGATGACTGGGAGATGAGGTCCAAAATGAGTGCTCAACAGTCAGTACCAAGGTGAGTAACAAAACCTTGTCTCTGCTCACAGAGGAGTAAATTTAGTTGCAATTTCAGTGTCCTGACTACTCCAGGCTGATGCAGGGCTAATGAGACTAGCATCCCTGTATCTCCGGTGTGCTTAAAAACCAGGCTACTTTCAGCCAAGTGGCCTGGAATATAAATTAGACTCTCTCAAAAGAAATTTGGGTAATTATGAAGAGTACTTACCAGACCAAAATTAATTACCTCCATTTAGAACACCTTTTTTTTTTTTTTTCCAAAGTTGATGTTTTTATCCAGCATTTTAGACATGCTGAGCACAACTCCCATACTCAGCACTTCCACATCTTATATTTCCAGTGTTTCATACTGGGCAGCCAGAACAAGGGGGAACACAGAATTAAGAACCACCCATTAAAAGTTTGATGTAACACCTAAACCTGGCATTAGACACACAGCCTGAGGCAGAGCCTGGAACAGAATCTCATGCTCCAGAACAAGTATACAACTGCTATGAACAACATTCAGATCATTTCTATTTTCCTGCAGGCCACTGCCTACCTCATGTTTTTGAGTTTCTGTCATTTGAGATGATTTAGGTGAGGTACCCTATGAAGAACATACTTCTCCAGTATATTTCATGGGTTTTCCCCTGAAAGGAACAGAGGAGAGAATGTGGGATGATGTAGAATTTGCTTATGTCGGTTAAAGGAAGAGGAAAGATCATCGAATTGTGCGTACACAAGGCAGATTCCACTAGAGCTTTTCCTAAGCTCTTGAGTCTTGGGCTTTGTGACCTTATGGATAGTTTATGCGCAATAGAGAGAGTTAATAAACTTTCTTGATTTATCCTCAATTTGCTGAAACATTTAAGGTAATGTTTTGAAATAATATAGTTCTTGAGTTCAGAGCTGCTACAGAAGCAGAAAGATACAAATAGTTTAAGGGGTGAGCATTTAGATGGATTTTATTCACAGCTATAACTGACATTATCTCTGTATCACTGTAGTGTTTGAAAACCCAAGTCATAACAAGACCACGGGTACTACAGAACATATCAGCAAAAGTTGGTCCCTCTGACAAAGTACTTACCAAATACATGGCGGCCAATAGGAGAACTCAGCATGCACTCAAAGGCACTTAGGAGTGCAATGAGGCCATGCTGGTCAGAAGCAAGACTTATTTCAGGCTTAATACCTCACAGAAGCCAAGACAACATCAATTCTTTCCTGGTGATGTCACATTAATAGCTTCCTTTGTTCATTGGTTGGAAACTGATACAACTGACTAGAAATAGACTATCCAGGAGGCCAAGAAGAGTATTTCTAAATAAAGCAGTAATCCTAAAGACTGGCATCTGAAAATCAGTGTCTAGAATAGAAAACCTATTTTTTATGCAGGAAAGATAAAATTCTCTAGATCTAAAAGTTGTTTTATTCTTTCTTAACAGAACTGTTCAGAAGGAAAATGAAGTCTGCATTGTATTTGTGTTTGTTGCTTCTCGGACTTCAAGTCAAGGGTCAACATGGCTCCAACCTCAATGATGAACAGCAAGAACAAAAAGTACCCCATTCCCCAGAAGACCATTCCCAGGTTGAAGATGAAAACTTGGCTCTTGTCAAGATAGCCCCCAGCAACGCTGAATTTGCATTTAGGTTTTACAAGCAGGTCAGAGAGGAGGCAGGCAACAAGAACATTTTCTTCTCTCCTCTGAGCATCTCCACTGCCTTTGCAATGCTCTCCCTGGGGGCCAGATCAAACACGCTCAAACAGCTGCACAAAGGCCTTGCTTTCAACCTGACAGATATGGAGGAGCGGGAGATCCATGAGGGATTTCAGCATGTCCTCCAGCTGCTGAATGACCCTCACCGAGAAGTCCAGTTGAGCATGGGCAATGCCCTGTTCATAGACAATCAACTGAAACTGCTCCAAAAATTTTTGGATGATGTCACAAATTTTTATTATTCTGAAGCTATTTCTAGTAACTTCCAGAATTCTCCAGAGGCTATAAAGGAAATCAATGACTACATAGAAACAAAAACCCATGGGAAAATTGTTCGTTTATTTAACAGTCTCGATAAAGACACCGTGATGGTTCTGGTGAACTACATTTTCTTTAAAGGTGAGTGACGAACATAAGTAGCAGTTATACACATAAGCTCTAGAAGTCCCAATATTTTCTATACGAGTAAAAAAAAAAAAAAAGAGGAAGAAATAGAAAAGAACCTATAGAAGTACTAAGCCAGGTTCAGAGATGAAAATATTCAGAAGGGATGAGCTTGGGAACTTATGATCACTTGTTGAAAGGCACAGGGGTTTGGCTGCGCAGGACATGGTCAAACACGGATGACCCTTCTCTGAATAAGCCTGGTGCCTGTATGTGGGAGTCTGTGGAAGTTTTACCATTGCCTTAGCAGGCAAAGGCTCAGGTCTTTTCTACGGCAACCCTCAGCTTATATTTTTCTTGTGTGATTTTTATTAGAACCATTGAAATTGTGTAAAGATTCTTTTCATGGCCAAGGAACGAGCATCCTTAAACTGAGATAGGCTTGTTGTTGTCTTTACAGTTCAAATACAGTATTTTAAGCACAGAATCATAGAATCAAAGAATGACCTGGGCTGGAAGGGACCTTAAAGATCATCTAGTGTGGCATTAACTCATGTGACATGCCTTTATTAGTCTCTTTTTCAGTTTATTCAATTCTATACTCATTCTTTTGTCAAAAGGCTACTGGGAAAAACCTTTCAAAAATTTCGCCACCAGAGACGATGACTTCTTGTTGGATGCCAAGAATTCTGTTAAGGTCAAAATGATGCATCAAAGCAAAAACTTTAATATCCATAGGGATGAGAAGTTGTCTTGCTGGGTAGTAGAAATCCCATACAAAGGAAATGCTACTGCATTGTTTGTTCTACCTGATGAAGGGACAATGAAGCAGGTGGAGGATGCTCTGCTAAAAGAAACAGTATCTAACTGGATGCAATCACTTGAAAACAGGTAATTTTTTAACTGCTGCTTTGTTTAAATATCGAAAAGGCCATAACTACTCATCCAGGCAAAATAAAGCTTAGGATGCCACAATCAGTTGCTAAGCACAGCTCTGAGGAGCAAGCATTGTATAGTTTCTTTAAATCAGACAAGGTATCAGACGATTTCATACCTAAGGGGAACCCTGTCCTAAGCTCCCCCGGTCACAGCGATGGGAATGCTACCAGCTGTGACGATCCTGCACACGGGTACATTGCCCTCAGGACCCTGCCTTGAATAGGAAGAATACAGTTCAGAAGAAAATACAATTTCTTTTTCTCCAGTCTGGATGATACATTCCAGCCAGCCACTTTAACAAACCAACACTGTGTCCTTGCACCACTGATCAGACTGTGGCTGGTGGGAGAGGTTCCTCAGTTCCTGCTTCTCTAACATGGGATTTACCACTGTCTTAGAAAGAGAAGCCTTGCCTCCACAGGTATTTGGGATGTGTGTATACCTGCAACAGCTATTGCATTGAGGGATCCTGCAATAATAAACTCACATTTTTTTGTTTACTTTTGAAAAGAAAAATCTACCTGGACCTTCCAAAATTCTCCATCTCAGGCTCCTATGACATTAAGAGCCTGTTTGAGAAAATGGGTGTGACAGAGCTATTCAGTGACGCAGCTGATCTCTCTGGAATGGCAGAAAATACTCTTCTGAAGGTTTCCAAAGTAAGTATGCAAACAGAGATGGTAATCAGGAGATTTATCTGCCTTGCTTACATGTGGGTTTTATCTCTGCAGCTAGGCTGATCCCACTTCTGGAGTGTAGTCATGACTCACTGTTGGTAATAAAGGAAAGAGAAGGTTAGGGATCAAACAGCTGTTGTTCCCACAGTTTAATATTAAATTGTTTAGTACATAGGATCCTGCAAATTCACTTGAAAGTCTCTGAAGAAGAAAACAGATCTGGAAAGAATAACAGGGATAATTTCACAAAAAACTGGTGTAAAATAACTAATGCATGACAAGACTCCTAGTTATGACGTAAGTTTGGGAATAGTCATTCTTACCCTATGTATACACCTTTCATTGCTGCATTATCTGAGCACCTCAGAATTTATATGGACCACAGACTTGTGGGACAGGGATAGCCCCATTTCACAAACAAGAGACTAGCACAGAGACAAGTAGAGTGATTTCCCTAGTGTCCCAGGGAATATATGCCTTGTGTCATGAGGGAAACTATCCTTCCCTTCTATTCTGCACTTGTGAGATCATCTCTGGAGTATTGCATCCAGTTTGGGGCTCCTCGGTGCAAGGGAGATGTGGACATACTGGAGCAGAGCGAGTCCAGTGGAGGGTTAGCAGGATGGCTGTGTGGCTGGAGCACAGGGTGTATGAGGAGAGGCTGGGAGACCCGGAGCTGTTCAGCCAGGAGAAGGGAAGGTGAAGGGAGGTTCTTAGTGCTGTCTACAGATACCTATGAGGAGGGTGTAGAGAAGATAGACCCAGGCTCTTCTTGCAAGTGCACAGTGACAAGATGAGAGACAATGTACACAAGATAGAAAATGGGGAATTCTCATGAGATATTATGAAAAAAAATTCAACAAAAGGGTGATCAAAAACTTGGTTGCATTACTTAGAGAGGCTATGAAATTTCCATCCTTGGAAATACTAAAGCCCTCACTGGATGGGACCACAAGCAACCTTACTGTGTCAGAGTTGACACAGTGTAGGGTGGGTGGTTGCATTGGATGACCTCTAGAGGTCCTTCCAACATATACTATTTAATAATTTTGTGACTCCTTACATTGAATAATACCTTATTACACGTGTAAACACCTGGATTACAGATATAGGACATGTGAATACAGGAAGGTTAACAGGACCTCGTGAGAGGAAATTTCAAATGAGTTATGGACAATGAAGAAAAAACACAGAGGGCTGACCAAAGACAATGAAATAAGATCACGTGAATTCAGAAATATGAATTTCTATACCTACCATAGAAAGCTCTGTAAAGTCAAGACATATCAGTGAGCTGTGCTACAGAAAGACACGCTATAAAGTTTGTCACTATTGCGTCTTTGTAGAAAGAATTTTTTTGCATACACAGAAATTTTTGCAAAATGAAAACTTTCTTCTTCTGTGTTAAAAATCTTACTCTGAAAAACAACAGAACAATAAATGTTCTCTGTGCTGCTCAGTCTCTGCAAGCAGCCAAGTTTGACTCTGCCAGAGCGTTGAAGAAAACTCTCCAAACTCAGAGCAAACTTTGCTTGTCTTGGAAAGGCTGGACATGAGTATCGTTTTCACACCAGTTCTACACTCATTCTGTGCTTTGTTTTAAAAACTGCCTTCTCACAGTGTTAAAGCAAGCAAGTTTGTCCTCAGCTGCTTCTCACTCTTCTGTACCTGGATTTTAATCTTTGCATCCCTTGCAGGCAATTCACAAGGCCACGGTGGATGTTAGTGAGAACGGAACAGAGGCTGCTGCAGTGACTGCAATAGAATTGGTACCATTGTCTGCAGGGTTCCCTCCTCCTCCTCGCATCAGATTCAACAGGCCCTTCCTGATGATAATTGTTGATAAAAGCACCCACGGCATCCTCTTCATGGGGAAAATTGTGAACCCAACTGCCAAGGAAGTCTAGGCCACAACATTTGTACTCCCCAGCGCAGAGAAGAGAGCTTGTGCACATCCCAGGGGCTTCTTTGCAAAAAGGGACTAGAATTGATCCCTAATTAACAAATAAATAAATATTACATGAAGTTACTCCTCACTTACAAACAGACAGTTGAGAACAAGCATGAATGGGCCATGTTTACAAAATGACCCAGGCCAAATAGGCAACTGTGGGATATTCAACAGACAAACATTTCCCTACCTCACTCACTCATCACTGGTATCATAGTCCCTTGCATGCATATAAACCTTCCTACTCCTGGCTGAGAAACTGCCTATGTCTCCCATTTCCTGTATATCAAGTCCTCAGCTCAGAAACCACAAATCTATCCCCTTCAGCTGAGAAACCATCCTTTCCCTCCCTCTCGTTCCATCGTGAATCCCAAGAGAAGTCTCTTTCATCTTTGAAATCCTTCCAGGGCTCATTGGCTAAGAAGGGAAGCAGAAACATAGACCTGTTAAACCTCTCCTCTCCTAGATGGTGGATGGTCCTTTTTCTTCCAGCTTGACATCTGCCTCCTACCAGCTCCAAGCCCTTGCTCCCATCTCCATTCCTCCTTAGTTGCTCCAGAGTAAGGGGTCCAACTTTTTTGGCAGGGCAAGAATTTAGTTTCTGTGTCAGCAAAATCTGCATGTCACTGCACAAATGGCCATCCTTAATAGTCTTGTGCATGTACAGCACATGCCTGGGATCCCTAGGAGAACTGGATGCGGCCAAAACTGCCCTCTGATTCCAGAAACTGGTGGCAGCAGGCTGGGAGGTCATGTCTCCATTGTCCAAATGCCAGTTAATCATGTTGCCCTCTGCTCACTTCTTCAAGCTCAGGCTGATGAGTGCCTCCAAGAGATTTCTCTCCATTAAGCTGATGTTTCTGGTTCAGCAAGGTGACTCGGACTCCTTCCTGAGCGTTGAGTAGGCAGAAGCCAGTGTTGCCAGCAGCATTATGTGAATGGAGAGCTGTGCTGCCCCAGATTAATTTAATTTACTGTCAACTGAAAATACAGTAGGATAGTAATAAACAAAGACATAATTTAAAACACCTTTCCCCACCCTTCCCTTCTTCCCAGTCTCAATTTCACTTCTAAGTCTCTACCTCCTCTTCCTGAGTGGTGCAGGGGAAAGGAGAATTGGGGATACGGTGGTTGCAGTCAGTTTATAATGCTTCGTCTCTGCCTCTCCTTCCTCCTCACAATCTTCCCTTAGTCCAGCGTGGTGTCCCTCCCACAGGCAACAGTCCTTCATGAACTGCTCTGGCATGGGTCTTTCCTACAAGGTACAGTCTATCAGGAACAGATTGCTCCAGCATGGGCTCCTCTCCATGGCGTCACAGGTCCTTCCAGGAGCCTGCTCCAGCACAGGGTCTCCACAGGCTGCGGCTTCCTTCAGGGCACATCCACCTGCTCAAGTGTGGGGTCCTCCATGGGCTGCAGGTGGATATCTGCTCCACTGTTAACCTCCATGGGCTGCAGGGGGACAGCCTGCCTCACTATGATCTTCTCCACAGGCTGCAGGGGAATCTCTTCTCCGGTGCCTGGAGCACCTCCTCCCCTTTCTTCTTCATCGATGTCCATGTCTGCTGGGCTGCTTCTCTCACCTGTTTTTTCACTCCTCTCTCTCACAGCTGCCGTGCATGAGTTTTTACTGTTTCTTAAATACACTTTCACAGGAGCACCACCATCTTGGTTGAGCGGCTCAGCTGTGCCCTGTGGTGGGTCTGTTGGACCCGGCTGGACCCGGCCCTGTCCGTCATGGGGCAGCCCCAGCCTCTCCTCACCGGATACACAGAAACACAATCCTAAAATAACATTACATTCACTAAGGGTAATGACATTTAATGGACGGGTAGAACATTTGATGGTGCTAGTGAACTGTCAAGAGCTGCCATTAGGATCCCTTCACAGTGTCATCTCAGCATCAAGAGCTGGTGGGCCTCCATGCACTTCACAAACATAGCCTGAGCTAAGCAACAACACCTCCTCCCAATGTTTCCAGTCTCAGCTCTGCTTTCCTCCTGAGGAGGGGCAGGAATCAAAACTACCTGAGAGGGCCTGGGGCTCCCTGCTGATGCTGGAGGGTTTTGGCTTCTGACTAGGCTGGGTCAGAAATGCTAAATGCTTCTGCCATTGTTGCTTGGCTTGGGAAAGCCCTGACACATCGTATGGATGGGAGAAAACCAGAGGATGCGTATTTGTAGGGAGAGATAATAAGGCCTTTCATGTGGGTAAGCATAGAGCTTTTCACAGACCTACAGGTAAAAAAACCAAACCTCTAGTCAACCTATTCACACAGAACTAAAGATTTGCTTAACACAAAATATTTTCTCTATAATCATCCCCTTGACTCCAGATTTTAAAGAAAGAAAACCAGCAATGCTTGAAAAATGCTCTATGGAAAATCTTAGTCAGCTATACCTAACTCATTTTCTCTCTCAGGAAAACAAAATCAATTGTTTCAGCAATGCTTGAAGGGGCAAACCTCTGCTGATGGAGCCAAGCCAAGGATTTCAGCTCTGCACGGGGCCTGCCAAACTACAAGTCTCTTTATCCACAGCGACTAATACAGCTGCGCAGTCATTGCTCCCCTGGTTTGGGAGTGGCGAGGTGAAGGTGAGCAGTTAACTGTGCACTATCTGGGACACGTTAGAGGGAAGGCAAGAATGAGAGTAAATAAGAAACTGTTTGTGTTACTTCATTTCTTCCCTCCCCCTCTGCCCACTTCTGGAAAATGAAAACAAGGACCAAACTCAGTATTTTTGTTTAGTTGTAAATATTAAATATCTGAAATAGAAACCTTTGTAAAAATTCTTGATTCTCTTGTCAGAACTGTGAGATTTTCTTAAGGAAAATAGTGCAAGTCCACTTGGTGCCCTATGGATTAAAAGCAGTTATTTGAGGGTGGAAAAATTATTTCAGCTGAAAGGATAGTTCCCAGCAATGCTTTTGTAACTTCCCTACAACTGCAAAAAAGAACAACCACTCAAGAAAGTTTTAAAAGACAGGCCAGTGATTTCTCAAATATGCAGTTAAGTTCAAAGACTGTGTTGAAGATTTATATGGGGTTTGGAAAGGGGCTTAAAGAGTTGGAAGGGAGCAGGAGTGTTGAGCTGATTTGCTCAGGAATTTTAGCTCCATGGTGGAACTAGGGGGAGTATAGCAAGAACATGATGATTGAACAGAAAAAGTGAAAACTTTACAGATGTTTGGAAAGCCTGCCATAAATCCAAAAGCAATGCAGTGGCCCAGCTGTAGATACCCTGAATCAGCTCTGGCTGAAACTGGAATTCTACTAAGAGGAAAACATGTCATCCCAGGCCAAGATAACACCAGCAAACTGCAGAGCCTTCACATTTTTGGGAGCAACATGGAAAGAAGAGGGGTGGGAGAGTAAAATCTCTCTGAAGAGAGCAAGGAACCCTTGGCCACACTTCAACATCCTGATTCTTCTTGCACTTGAGACATAGTGACCCAAGGGAGAGAAAACTTGGAGCCAGCACATGGAATGGACCGCTGATATACTGTGGCCCTGTGTTATCGGGGAATAACTAGCCTCGCCTCATCCTCCACCAGCACAGTACCAGCTGAAAAACAAGGATATGGATTTTGATCCTTGGTGACTTCCCTTGGCAACTGAAACAGTAGCATGTCCCCTTAACATACAGGAGTATAGGGCCTGCAAAGGATCTGTAGGCACAATGAGGGATAAAACTAGACTGCATTAACTTTACAATCTTTTACCTCCATTTTGCATAGATTTTAAAAGACAGGTCTCTCTGTGCCATCATTAATCATCTATCTCTGCTACTTTTGGTGTCAAGACCTTATCTGAGAAAACAGGCATTACTTAAGTGCTCAGAGACAGCAATGCTGTTGCTGGAGCCGCGGGGAGCCTGACCTCGCACTGCCTACAGTCAGCGGTAAGTGGGGATGGGTATTATCTGAGCAGTGGTAATGGTTTGTATTTCCAAACAGCCTGACCCGGCATCCAGCAAAATTAAGGTTTATGAGCAGCAAAAGGGAATATTGTAAGCGGCAAACTGTCATATTTGAAAAGTAACATATTGCACTTCAAAGTTACTGTGAACTCTCTTGATTTCTCTGAAATGCACATATTGAACTAATAATCATAAATAGCCACCAGATCAGAAAGGGACAGGAAAAAACCGTATGATTTGCCCTTGGCTAACATAAAATTGTATATTAAAAATGAACTACAAAAGCTTGTTACATTGGAGTCTTTTTCTGTTCTAGGTCTTTTCAAGTCCCCCTTTTCTGTACGGTTACAGTACCTCTTAGTTTACTAAGCTGTCACATTTACAACTGCCTTGCAAGGAAGAGAATGCCTCTGGGGATCCCAGGTCCATGTGGGTTAAAGGAATTCTGTAAGACTATGGAGAAGGCAAATGCACCCACATTCCTTGCTTGGAGAACCAGACACTGGGAGTCCACTTGGCATGAGTTATTTCTAGCAACACCTGGAGCTCCTTGGTGGTTGGGAATTTGAGCAAAGAGTTTCTTATGAGCCCTTGGGAAAACTGCTGGCTTAGCCAATAGCTATTATATGCAGAGTCTTGTGGATTTTCTTGCCAGCTATATTTCTTCAAAGATGTGGCAGTACAGGCAATGCTGGGGCAGCTTGTAACAAAGGGGCACCGTCAGGTTTTTAGTCTTTTAAAACTGTGACTATTGCTAGCTCTGTTAATGCTTTCCATGAGACTTATTAGTCCTCATTTATAAATCTGTGAGTCTTTAGGCAAGTATATCACATTTACATCAAAATTTCGCGTGCCTACATGCTATGTGGAAGTCAATGGGAGCTGTAGATACGTATCGACTGATGTACTGCAGGTACTGCACCGCTCTTTGTTCAACTCTCATTCAAGAACAAATTGCCCCAAACTGAGCACTATCTATTCTGCTCTGTGACAGACAGTCTGAACCCTGGACATTCACATTAAGACCTAAAAAGTT